TCCACGTGTGAACACCCCGGTACCCATTCTTATTTCGATGCCGTGCGCTGGCCTCTTGGGGAGGGGAATGTACTCGCCCGATAGCCCCATTCCGAAAGCACTTCGAGGTTGGGAGTAAACCGAGCTGAACGTACAGTACGCCCCCAACTTGATCTTGCATGGATTTTCCTCGTATTAACCCGTTTCCCTCCTGGAGCGATAGATAAATCACTACCGATCACGAGGGAGCCTTCACTTCTTGCAACTTCATCGTCCAAGAAACCAACAACAGTGACCTCGCTAGCAGGAACGTTTCATTACTTTCCACGTATTGAAACTCCTCGGTACTGTTCCTGAACGCTTCACCAATACATGCACATCCAACTCTCTGCACTTGCATGGCGTTTCTCTCAGGTTCCAAGCTACGTCAGGACGCCCTCGACATAGCCCTCAACCAGGTATCCGGCGGGAAAGGATGGTATACTTCGAAGCTACAACTCCAGCTCGCGTCATTACAGCTGTGTCTGGCGTGGCGAAGAGTGCCCACATCCCACCTGACGGTAGAGAGGGACGTGCTCGCCCTTCTGTGGCCGAATAGCGTGGCGGAAGCGACTCGTAGCAGAGCGGTGAGCCTGGGACAATCCCACTTGCCGGCCCTTCGACCGCGCAAGGTGACGTGGAACCTAGCGGCGCTGTCGATGAGGCACTGTGGGAATGCTTTCGAGAGCGTGGACGTCTTGGTTTTCGGTGACTCGTTCGACTACAGGGTGGACCGAGTGACGTGGCCACCGGGGCTCAAGAAGCTAATTTTCGGGAAGGATTTCGATCGCTCGGTTGACCATGTAGCTTGGCCAAGGTCCCTGAAACAGCTCACCTTTGGGGCGTGGTTCAACAAGCCGATTGGCAGTGTTTCCTGCTCCGATTCGCTACAGCAGATTACGTTCGGAACATGCTTCAACCAGCCGGTCGAAGACGTAACATGGCCGGCGTCGCTGCAGGAGCTTACCTTCGGGAAAGAGTTCAACCAACCCATTCAAGGGGTAACGTGGAGCGCGTCACTTTTGAATCTCACTTTCGGGAGGTACTTCAACCAGCCCATCGATAGGGTCATGTTCCCGGCATCGCTGCGACACATCACGTTTGGGTTCAGTTTCGACCAGCCAATAATTGACGTCCTGTGGCCGGTGTCGCTGAAACGGCTGGTATTCGGGTACTGGTTCAACCAGGAGGTCCAAGAAGTGTCATGGCCAGCGTCCCTGGAAGAGCTTTCTTTTGGAATAAAATTTCAAGTGCCGGTCGATGGCATCGATTGGCCGGACTCATTGCAGCGACTGACGATTGCGCAGCGTCCTGGCATGCTGCTGCATACGTAGTCTGGGGTACCAATGCACAAATAAATGTAGTTCCGCGATGGCCGGTCCGCCTTCATTTTTCTGGGTGTCGAAAAAGCACGGGCTGAGGTGTGATTCGAACCCACAGCGGAATGTACCACAAGATGTGCTCAAACACATTGCACCAGTTAAATACCCAGTAGTTGGTTTCCTGATCACCACACCGAACGAACAGGCACAGAGAGAGAGATCGCGCATAGAGAGAGCGAAAGAGGGAGAGTAGAGACACGCAGAGAGAGAGACAGAGAGAGAGAACGCATAGAGAGAGAGAGAGAGCAAAAGCAGCCTTGGTTGCTGTGCACAAAGGTTTAATGTTTTTGTCCGTTGAACGCGTGTACGAGTGGGCTCGGGCTGCGGCGCACACATGTCATTTTCGTTACTTCGTTGTTTCCCGCCTCTCTGCCTGCGTGCGGGAGCCTCTCTGCCTGCACTCAAGGGAAGTTAGCGTCAAATTATATCAATCCATACAAAGTCAAGTCAACTAAGCAATTTCCAACATCGGTCACACGATGTATGTAGGGCGTGATGTTCCTGGTGTTTTCTGGGGGAACCCAGAGTTGTTACATGTGCCGGACTGCGCCTGTTTTGGTTGTCGAAGGCATGCGATCCTCACGGTGGGCCATGGCATATGCTTCAGGTTTTTATGCAGTCTACACTATGCCGTCTGTTACAGTTTCAAAAGGATGCCGTATATTACAGTTTCAAACGGCAACTGGTCGAGTCGGAAAGGAAAGAACGGGAGGTAGCCCGGTTAAGCCGTATAGTAGTACGTCTGCAGGTTTGATGCTTAGTATTCGGTCTTCTCCCTGGCTCCAGCGTGGCAGGCTGCTCGGTCTCGAGCGTATGTGTTGGGGGGAACCTAGCGTGTGTGGGAAGATGTTTGGATACAGTGGCGGCCGGTTGAGAAGAACAACGCTCCCAACACCCCCAGGCTCCGATTATTGAAACAATCAGAAAATCAGTATTGTGAAAGCCATTGAGCTCAGCCACCGGCCCTAACCTGGGTCCTACTATAGGCTCAATCGGAACACCGAGAACTCACAAGTAGGTTTCTCCCGATCGATTCCTGGGCTGCATGATATCATGACGCAAGCACAATTTATTAATTCACCACTTTCTGCCGTAGACTTTTACCTTGATTTTGCGTACACAGATGCATCGAATGCGCCTGTTGTGCGCTGTGTGGAGCTATTCTTGTTGGAATTTCCCAAATGCAAATGGGGGTTTTTATTCGGGTTAAAAAAACTGCTGTAGACTCTTGTGACGGAATTTTTTTGACACGGAAGATACCGCGATGTCAGCCATAGCTGGGAATACTGTTTGGTCCAACATGTCGACAACGCAGAGAACCATGATGATAGCTCAAAGGTGTAGAGAAAAAACGAGCCTGGTAGGGCCGTGGTGGTAATACGGACGATCGGGAAGGGAGACACACACCAAAGCGAGACGGGAGGGTGCGACCTACTTCTTCTACAATTGCTGTTAGGGAACGGCGGAAGCAGAGGAGAGAGACGAGGTTTCACAGGAGAGAGAGGCAGCGGCGACGAGCAGCTAGCTGACGACACACCGAGAGAAGAGTGTGCACACCCGAGGAGACAAACGAGAGACGCGTTGACAAGCAACTAAATGTTGTCGTGTGGCATGCACGTTCTTTTGGTTGAGGGTTGTGTTAGGCAGTGCTGTGTGTTCCTGGAAGTAAACATTATTTTATATGTAGTCTACAGCGGGGGCTCTCACCGAGAAGAGAATGGAACACGAGGGGGGCCACACCAACGGGCGAAAGCCTCCACTTCCTTCGGCTCTCTCCTTTCAACGCCACCACTAGAAGAACTTGAATCCAGAGCTTCGGTTTCTCCTCCCGTCTCGAGGATGCGTGGATAGGTAATGATCATGTATGATGCGCTGGCATGTGCGGAGGAATGCACCCAGCAGCCGTACGTACTTGTGTGCCCGCAGTGCGATCCCCGAGGTCCCACTCGACGCGAGCCTCCCTCTCTTCTCTCTGTCTCTCTCGTGGGAGGCTCGCTCCTGGATTAATACTGTGCGTGTGTGTTCGGTGACAGGTACAAGGGTGGGCTGATTTCTCGCACCTCGTGATAGGGGACACGACAAACCCATCTCTATCCACGGAGTTCAGGATAAATTACATCCAGCAATGAAATATATTCATGGGGTTATTAATGCATAAAAACCTCCTCCAGTCAGCAGTGTCGACGTCGCGAAATGAACGGGTGCTGTGCACGCTCACAGCTTCGGGCACCTCGACTGATTCTGTTGTACGAATAGTGGGCCGTATGCTGCAGCTTTGGGGGCTGTCAATTCAACGCGGCGATCCTCTGATCGGCGACAGGGCGACGGAGAGGGTCCTGAATGATTGAATCGATCCGAAGGTGTTCATTCTTTCAGGTCCCACTCACACTGCTGTGTCTGGACGCGGGTCATTGTTGCCCTGAACTGCTTCGGGGAGAACGGTATACACGTCGATGGTTTAGCCTCCAGCTGGCATCGGTGGCGTCCTGTGGGGCCTTTGCCAGAATGTTCCCACCCCGTGCGAGACGGTGATGATATAGACGCGCCACCACCTCGCCGACGGTCCACATGACGGCGACGGCGACGGCGACGATGCTTGCTTGAACCACAGCACTCGAGGGTCCCATCACTGCGACGCGCGTGACAATCGTGCCAGCCTTTCCAGTGTGTGAAGTGATGTCGAAGTTAACGGAATCGATGGACTCCGTCGTGATATCGTCGTCGCTGGGCCGCACAGCGTTTGGGGGAGGTCTCAACCAAAGGGACGAGGTCCTTTCTTCGCCTTCACCCGTGGAGGAAACCGACTTCGGTTACGGCTTCAATCAACCAGTCACGGGGGCAAGGTGGTTAGGCCGCCGTCGTTTCAACTGTACCAGCATGACCTGGTGCGAAGTTGCTTCGTCGATGATGGTGAAGACGATCTGGTCTGCGTTCGAGACTTGAGCGTGTCATTATGTGAGTCCAGCTGGGGGGCAACGACAAACCACATTGCTGTCGTTGGGCGAAACACAGGCGCTCGTGGAGTACTGGTACCAGCAGCAGTGGGCGTAGAGACAAGGTTCTTGAGTGCTGTTAGCGGGCACGAATGGCGGCTGGGTGGGGTCCTTCGTATCATTCGTTCATTCCTCTAGCATTTGCCTCCCCCCCCTAACGCAGAAACCACTCGTACTACATTTCTCCGACGCGCTGCTAGTTTGAGCAACAACATTCTAGGCATGCGCCGCCGTGTTCAGGGACGAGCGCAGTGCAGGCCGATGCTTATATTGAGGGCCATGGCAAACAATTGGGGAGACCTCCTCCGGGAATGCGCAAGCACGACAAGAACAAATAAACGATACGAAGGCAAGTTTGGCCGATGAATAGAAGACTCCCTCGCCCGGACATCACGGACGGGCTACAGCAGTATCTCACCAAAACGAAATTGAGGAAATCAAACACGCGCATGGAAGAGGACGACTTGAGAGTCTCAATCACCCACAGCACCTCCATGGTCTCTTCGTATCATCTTGCAAACCTTCCCCATCTATAGGTCTAGCCCCCATCCCCACAAATATGACCCAATCCCATCCTTAAAACCAAAACTACGACGGGGAGCAAATGTTATCCACTCCATCCTTCCTTCATGAGGTCTAGCGTAGCGAAGACTATTCGCATGCTCTGCGAGAGCACGGCGGCCTCCATCGGAGTTCGCGGCTCCGCTCCTCTTCTCATCACCTCCTCAAGCTGCGAAAGGAACCGGAGAAAATGTTGTAAGGAAATGGTTGGGCATCAGCCGGAGCAAAGACAAAAAAAAAATCAACAAAAGACATGCAGGCAGGCCTTCTAGCAGCAGCAGTAACGGCCGCTTGGGTTGGGTAGCGTGTGTATGTGCGGGGCAGGACCAGGCGTCTTTGCAGCACTGAAGGTCACAACGCTCTGTGTGATTTGCGGAGAGCAATGGTCGGCAACAACCAAAAACCAACACCCCAACTGGGTTCGACCGGGCATTGAATGTTCCACGTGCGTAGGACCGTACGCCTGCCTGGAAACATGGCATAGATGTGCTCTGTGCGAGAGGTGTAGCTGTGCCCAAGCAGGATTTCTGATGCCGCCGGCTACTAGTAAATGGGTCAACGTGTACGTGCCCAAAGTGGAGACACGCAGTGAAGACGTACAGCATTACCCACCTTCAGCGTCTGGAGGGTGTGTCCCGAGGCAGCGCCGTTCATCACCTTCTTGACAAATTCCGCAAACCGGTCCTGCGCGTTGCCGATCGATACATGAACCGACAAGGGGCCGTGAGGCCAAAAACCGTGTAAACAAGTGTGTACGCTTGCCGTTTACGGTCTATGCCGAGAGGCAACAGCTGAGACGAAGAAAAAATATCGCACCTTATATGCATTCGAAACTCCCTTCTAGGCTGCGTCCAACACGTAGCAACACTATCATCGGGACCTCGTTCAGTCTCTTATCACGTCTACGTAGAGCCGTTGGTCCTCTGGAAACAGACATCGCCTTCGCCCGCTGCCCATTCTATGGTCGGGAGGGGTTCTCCGGTGAGGAGTTCACTAGAAAGAGCATTCAAGGCCGACCGCCCAGAACGGACAACAACCTTCGCGAAAGAGATACCATCGTACGTTTTACTGCTCCTGGGATGACAAAAAGGCATACCTCACATGCGGGGGGCCACGTGTGTGCCCGAAACAACGGCTTCCTGCTGTATCCGCAACACACCCGCCGCAGCAGCCCCTCGTCAACCAAACGAAATTCTCACCATGAATGGCGCTGAGATCTCATGCGCTCGTTGAACCTTCTGCGGCCAATTGGCATTCTCGAGCGTGAGGTAGACGAGAGCAATCCAGACCGATCGAAGCTCGACTTCATCCGGGTGAAGGTCGCGCCCCGCCGTCTGAAGAACAAGAACAACAAAAAAGGTGGTAAACATCACGCCGGACCGGCTTATTTGCCGATAAATCCGTCCCACATTTCTGGCTCATGCGAAACATACGGGAATTTGGGGGTGGTATCAACAGAGTGAGGACGGCGATGGCTTGCGACTGTCCCTGGAACTCTATACTGGCGGCCATCTCTCCCATTCGCGTCATGCTAAAGGTTCAACAACGACAATCGGGTACCCATAGGCAGTGTCATGCGCGATGTTGTTTGAGTTCGAAATACCCCAACATGAGGCCTATTCAACAACCCAATTACTTGCGGGTGCTGCTGTCGACTCTTTTATCCCTCCGGCGACCTCGGGCTACGCCACAAAATTCCAAGTACTCGAACAAGGACACCAGCGATAACAAATACCAACTACCCAGAGGGGGTCAAAACCCCAGAGCCTTGAATCAAAACAAGCAGACATGGAACGAGCGTACCATCGAGTATGGCCAACCAGCGGCGAACTTGCGCGTAGTCGCGACCAACCAATTCAAGTTGGTGATATGCATACCATCGACAAGTAGGAGGACCGGGTGGACAGCAAAAAACAAAACGAAACACTCGAGCAGGGGTGGGACGGGGACGAGATCGAGCAGCAGTTTCAACCCAGGACGACCTTTGTAGGGACGAAGGAGACCTCCATCGTCAAGGCCGGGACCGTGTACCCCCTCTCGTACGCCTCCTTGATCGTCGAAATGAAGGCCTTGAGGCCCATCTCGTAGCTGTTCCCCGCTGCCGCCAGCACGAAGGTGGACTCCACCAGACTTGCCAAGGATTGCTGCTCTGCTTCCTCTTCTCCTTTCGCCCCGTCTGCTTGTCATCGAACGGCCATGACAGGTAAACTCAACAAACCGGTATGACCAGATGGCCATCGACGGTGGCATGTCGGTATCAACACAGGGCGGGATCACAATGATTTGGCTGCTGCCACCCGATGCACGCATTCGGCTCCGAAAATCCGGCACAACAACCTCAAAATACACCATTGCTGGATGCTGTATTGTTCGCCTTTGAAGAGCACCTCTCAACAAACCACGTGCAACAAACACAAGGACTACTTAAATCAAAGATAGTCCAAGGCGATTCTCTAAGCCAAGGCAGCAACAGCAAACAACAACAACAACAACAACAACAACAACACAGCAAACGTACCTCCGTCGCCCGATAGACCACCCGCGCCGTCCCCAACGCTGCTGCTGCTTCCGCCGATACTGCCATCGTCAGCGCCTTCGCTCGGTGAACTCGTGCCCCGGAGCGCTCGGGGGATAGTCCTCCGACGTGCTCCACCCGAGGTTCTGCTGCGGGTTGGTGGTGTGATGGTGGCCGAAATAGATACACGGTAGTCAAAGCATGTATGGTTTAAGTGCCCCTCGTCGCTCGTGGGATGGTGTTGTCTGTACGGAGGAGACGAGCCCATGGTACTGCTGCTGTAAAGCACGCTGCCGTAGGTGTTGATTACCGACACTTTAGGTTTGCAGCAACAACGCCTACTTTTAGAAGCACTTTTTTTTCTTGCAAAGAACACAACAACTCCATCTCTGCCAGACAAAGAGTCCGTGATAGGTATGTAAGCAATGGACATTAAAGTGTAGTACGGTGACCAAGTTATACTTCAACGGTTCCCCCAAGCGGCATACAGCGGTATCTCCCCTGTGAGTAATAGGCTCGGCAAGACACAGCAGTTCACTCTAGACTAAAATCGCACAGCTGACCGAAAGGTGGCGAAACACATGACACATTTACTTTACAGCAGTACAATGCTGCCGATTGCTCGGAGATGGTGGTATGGACACTATTGCGTACACTTACACGTTCGTGGGCATGGGGCTCTGTAGCCCCACATACAAGAAATCGATGACTATTCCTACAGCAGCAGTCCAAGCAGCTGGGTCTGGTGCGGGTGCCGGGTGTTCATTACAGCAGTACCCTTGGAGGACACATGTTTCCAAATCAGGTGCCCACAGCCTCCATCGTCCTTGCAGTTTTGAGGAACCAATGGTGTATGTACGACACACGCTCAATACAAGGAGCCAAGGAGCAGAAGTATCGAGACTTCCTCACCTATCACAGATGCTGCGGCTGCTCGAAGGACCTGCAAGTCCATGACGATGACACATGAGCCGCCGATCGTGCGTCGTCGTCGGGTTACCCCGCCTCATCGCTAGTCCAGGTCCTAAAACAAACCCCAACGCACCTCCATCTCGCGATGGGGAGAGAGTCACGATAGAGGCGGACAAGAGGAACGTGGTGCACTTCATTAGATTTCTTCTCTCAGCAGCATGAGCTACTGCAGAGCAGGGTTGCAGCAGGTTGCAGCGTTGCATCGTAGCCGATCCGGGCACCGGGGCATCGCGAAGGATATATATAGACTTGGCAGGGTTCTACATTCTACAGCAGTATGTAGTTGGTGTGGAATACTATCTGTGGCCCCCTGGCGCGGCACTGCAGTGACAGAAGAAACGCGTCACTTTCGGCAACCACTTTTGCACGAGCTTCTGGTACCTAGGAGCTCATCGAGCACGATGCGTCGGCTTTCGAGGAGCACGGCGGTGCTGGTTCTGGCCGCGTGCTCTGCACCTGGATGTTTCGCGGAGCAGCCGCCATCTCTCACGGTATGCACGCATCATTTTTCATTGTCCACATTCCTTCTCATGCGCGTCCCAAAAAATCAACCTTTGGTGTAAATACCGCCGTCCGGCGATGCTGTTGGTTGGTGGGAAAAGACGCAGTCTCCCCAAGCAAAGTGAGGCAAAGGGTGCCATGAAACGCTCTCTGGAGTTGCAGCAGTAGTCTAGACCCCAAGACCGTTGGCAGCAGTAGTTGTCAATCTTACAATTAAGAGCAGTTGTCAGAACCCATGAGCTAGATGCATGTGTGCAGGCATATGCATCCGCGACTGCTGTTGATGGGGCTTTCAAATATCCAGTATGTAACCCATGTTCGAAGGAATGCCGTGTTTGTGAGTACACCGCGAAACCTTTCAGCCGTCACAAAGAAAAACACTCGGTTGCGCTAAGAAGCATCAGTAGACTACTAGGGTGCGAAATCTGATTTCCGGACGCCAAATTGTCTGTCGAAATGTGTTCCACAACGAGTCAACTATGCCGTCGAACGTTACCGTCTCATTGTCCGACACGATGCAAGCGAAATGTGTCCCACAACGAGTCAACTGTGCCGTCGAACGTTACCGTCTCATTGTCCGACACGATGCAAGTACGTGCTTAGCTTACCCTCTGTGGCAAGTTAGGTTACGCACTACGCACACCAACCAGACACCTGTCCACGATGCAGATGGCGGGTTGTGCTTGGGTTAAGTCGCCTCTCACCCTCCCACGGCCTTCTCACCCGCAACATGTAGCAGTCCGCTTACAGATACTTTGTAGGATGGACCGGATGGAACCAAACTGCCTTTGGCTGACTGAGCCTGTCGTCCGTCATGCCCAGGGGGGATATGGTATCACTACAACAGCAGAGTTGCGATTCATCGCTATGATAGTCTATCCTGGTGGGCTCTTACGTAGACTTGTGGATATAGGTGGCTTTATTTTGGTTCCGGAGTAAAAATCAAAGAATTTGCACAAAATGGACGAGACGACGGGGGGGAACCCACGCGAGGCAGCAACCAGTGCACACCTTAAGCTGTGCTGCTGCCCGACGGGACTGGTCTGCGCAGCCAATGAGGGGCAGTCGAATAGCAGTCCTCGACGACTGAACCTAAGGACCCAGATTTGATTGTGTTGGTTGCTTTGTGTGGGATCTGAAGGGTCATACAATGTAATTGGGGCTCGTGGTGGCTGGCGAATTGTACAGCAATCGAGAGCGTTTTCGATGCAGATGTGTGGGACGGTTAAATGGGAGAGACAATGAGCTGAACCGTACTAAACGACTCTGAGGTTGCTTCGATACGTGTCCGTGCACACGGACTGCTACTTCCACATCGCTGCCCCCACCAACCCATCTGTCGCTGCTACCGTCTCATCTACAGGAGACCTTCAAGGCCGTCATCTTATCGCACCAGCGACCGCCATCTTCTCCCGGGCCTCCTGCCACCGGCGCAGCGCCGGCGACGGCGACGGCGGTGCACCCCCTCGCCCCGGGCGTCGCCGCGGCCTACCCCGCGGGCGTGGAGCTAGCGGCGGAGGCACTCGCTGACGACCTCGTGCAGTCCTTGTCCGCGCTTCTCGTGCGGGAAAGGGCGGCGGCGGCGGGGGAGCGATCTCCAGCCGCGGCGGAGTGGACTCTGGCGAAGCTGACGGGCGTCTCTCTCGAGCCTTGGCACGAGGAGGCGGAGCGGCCGGATCCAGAAGGGCAGAGGCTAAGGGGTGCGGCGGGGGTAGCGCTCGAGGGCTCCACGGCGGTCGGCGGGGCGAACGGGAACGCCTCTCCCCCGGCGGAAGCGGAAACCCGTGGATTGTTTGAGGAGGAAGAGAACGAGGGGGGGGGGCTCGGACTGGCGGGGAGCGCGGGGGCGCTGGAGTTCGGGGAGGAAGACTTCCTCCAGATCGAGAGCACGTGGGTGAACATTGCCATGACCAGCGTCTGCGTGGTGTGCGCCGGGCTCGCCGCTGGGCTGACGATGGGCCTGCTGTCTATCGAACCGCTCGAGATGGCCATCAAGCAGCGCAGCGGTAAGAGGGGGATGGAGCGCCTGGCCGGTTGATTGCGTTCGTTTTGATGGCACCTTCGGTGTGCCCGATTCGGGGCCGTAGAAAGGCAATTGCCGGTAGTCTGGAAGGTGTTTTCACGGGTTCCCGTTGCTTTGTTTGACGAATGTCCGCTGAGACGAGTATGGTAGGGGGGCTCTCCGAAGTGGCGGTACGCGTGCCCGCCGAAGGAAACCGGCACTTTTCATTCAAGTATCAAATGGGCTTGATTTTCGCATCTGTGCCAAGCCAATTTCACTGGCACTTTGGCATAGAGCGCCCCCTACTGTGTTGAGCGCGAAGAGGGCTCTGGGGGGAGAGCAGGACGTGACCTGGCCAAACAAATCCCGTAAGGAAGGTTCTATTCCGCGCAAAAGCAGCAGCAACAGAGCCTTTCCCTTGACTATTTCGACTGCTGTTGACCCGGAGAGGCAAAAATCTAGCAGCTCAACCCGGGCGATGTAGCGGCCAAGCTGGTGGGGTCGTGCCTCGTGGAGTGCTCTCCGCCGGGCGTTTTCGCTGCGCACATACCTTTCCTGCATCGCCTTTTACTCACCACGCACACTCACCTACACGCACACGATTCCTTTGCCTTCTCCGTTCCCCTGTACGGCTGTGGGTCCTCTACGCCTAGAAATTCCGTTTCCCTGACCCCTCTCCGCCCCCCGGTTCTGAAAAATCAGGCACCCCGGAGGAGCAGCAGCAGGCATCGCGCATCCTACCCCTCGTCAGCCGGCACCACTTCTTGCTGGTGACGCTGCTGCTGTTCAACAGCCTGGCCAATGAGGTGCGTTCGAGTGGGCGGGGTGGGTGGACCGTGAGGCGAGACTCGGGCGTGGAGTCGGCAGACATGGATCCTCGACGTCTCTTGGTTGTTGTTTTTTCTCCCGGCGTGCTTTGCAAGGGTTGGGTCGAGACTATCATAGCAGGCCTGGACAGATGCGACCTTCTCTGGCCATGGAGACTTCCATCCAGCACGGGTCATGGCCAGACTAGTCTAGGCTGCGCGTTTTTCCGCCCCTCGAGACGTTACCTTTCGGTTGTTTGTTGGGCCCTCTTTTATACCTGACCTGATCGGAAACCGCGATGTTTCAAAGCCCCTGCTATTCCTGCTCGTTGTGCCCATCCTCGCCATCACGGGCTTGTGTCGTAGCTTGTCAGCGCTTCAGGCACCGGCTGTCCACGGCCAGGCTGGAATACGTTGCGCGCATGCTGGTCCTCGTATTCACGCCGCTGGTAGTTTGGCTACGGGTATGCTTTGGCTATCGGAGGCTTGGTGGTTGAACCGGACGGAAAACCGGTGCCCGGATGTTAGAGCTCAAGTCTAATCCATTAGACTTCTCCGTCAGCGACCCACTAGACAACGCGCGAACAACCTTCTTGCACACGACCACCCCGTCAGGCGCTTCCCATCTTTTTGGGGAACCTGGTGCCCTCGTGGCTGGCCGTCATCCTGTCGGTGTCTCTCGTTCTCTTCTTCGGGGAGATCTTCCCTTCCGCCGTCTTCACGGGGAAGAACCAGCTCGCCATCGCTTCCGGCATGTCCTGGCTCGTCTACACCCTCATGATGGTGCTCGGGCCCGTGGCCTGGCCTATCGCGTGGATGCTGGTGAGCGATCGGGCGTGTGCGTGCCGCGTGCTTTTTGTTGTTTTTGTGTGTGGAGCCCCCGGTAGTTGTGTTGTTGTACAGTAGTGGTGTGCTGAATTTCGCCTGGCCTCCCGCTTTTTTTTTTTAAGAGAGGTTGCATGTTGTTGCGGCGTGCATGTAAAGGCTTGTGAGGTGAAAGTGCGACGACAAGTAAGGGGGAGGGGGGTCCCGAGGGAGCGACCGGGAAAATGTTGCACAGCGAGACACGAGACACGACACCGTTCGGTCTGAGTTTTTGTTTTTCGTGGTTCGCCCGGAACGTTCCACCAACCGCTGACTGCGTCCGTGCCTGATGGTGAAACATCGAGGAGTTGCGTCAATCGCGTTTTTTATCACACGTCAACAACGATACTAATGGATACTTGCCAGAAGAGCGGCCTCGACTCTTGACGACATGATGTCACAACACGCGCGCAAACGCGACTGATACATGGCTCCCCTGGCCGAAACCTTCGTTTTTTTTTTGTTTTCTTCTCCTGTGCTATCTCAACCGAACCGACCCCGCGTTCTATGTTCGCCCTTTCGTCGTTCTCGTTTTCTCTCGTTCTCTCTCTCTCCTCTCTCTCCCTCCTTCTCTCTCTTCCGCCCTCCCTTCTCTTCCCGCGTGCAACGATTGTGTCGCTCTGGCGGCAAATCTTTCCCGCAATGCCGTGCATCACACGGGTGGTATGGGTGATGACGATACGGGGTTCGGGGGACCTCTTGGATGTGGTGGGTTGTTTCGAATGTCCCACCAAACAACCATGGGAACAACCTCGAAAAAACAGGACCGCGTCTTGGGCATCGAGGGGTTCAAGAGGTACAACCGGGCCGAGATCTCCGCGCTCGTGGAGGTGCAGCAGGAGCTGTCCTGCGAGGACGTCACCAACCTCCCCCTGGTGAGCAGCTATGCATCCCGTAGGTTGCATACGACACGACACAACCTGGACCGGTTTTTGAAACCCGATTAGTCAGCAACGTAGATGATGTCACCATCAAGTGATGCTTTTCGGGAAGCCTCTCGACGACAGGGAGGGTTCCAACGCCTCCCGCCAATATTGGCACCCTCGCCGTTTATCCTGCGGAGTAATCGAGCTCTGAAAATCGGTCAGAGGGGGAGGGTGTTATCTTGCGTCATGCAACCTACGGAAGCTCTCGGGGAGCCGCTACTTCGTTTCTTGTACCGCAAGTCAGGGAGTACGAGGCGGAGAGCAAGCATGACATCGCTACAACAATGGGCGGCTGTGGGCACCACGTCTGCCGTCTCCGTCGGTCGAATTCGTCTTTTACATTACGAGTTGTACCTTCGACGCTCCGGCCCCGTTTGCTCGAGCGAGACGTCAACCAACTGACGTGCCTTTTGTATATTTGTTTTTTTGTAGTTTCATGGCTATGGTTTCCCGCCTCCCCACGCCCCTTCTCGTGTACCAATGGTCTAACAGCTAAGGTATGCAAATCACGAGTACATCGCCCCTCCCCCCCCCCTACTTTCGTCTTCCGTATGCTGTTGTTGTTGCCAGCACGCGGACGAGGTTTCCATCGTTAACGGCGTTCTTCTCACGGCGGAGAAAAGCGTGGCCGAGGCCATGATCACCATGGACAAGGTAAGGTTCAGACTTCTACATGAGCCGTAACTGCTGTAGAACGGAAGTCACAAAACCACGCGGCCGACGAACCAAGCCGACTGACAGGTGATGATGATGTTTTGATTTTTTTTTTTCATTGCGTTTCACGCTTGGAGGCTGATTGTGGAGGCTGGTGCACGATGCCTCCGACAAGTAGAAGTCTGTCTCTTCAACTGCTTGTGCGGGGGAATCCTTGGTTGGTTGTTGTGAGTTTCGGGGAGGGGGGGGGGGGGGGGGG